TTWRSMAWCCCTACGGACCCATAATCCAGAGTTCCAAGGTTCCATCCTCGCCTCGTGCACGTCTGAAAAATTCTTTCTTTTTTTTCTTTCYTTCTTTTTTTAAGTGAAATATAGGTGTTCTAGTCATGTTAGATTTTTATCGTAGCAATTTGTTTTATTGATATTTACACGAGACGCGTTTGTTAAATTTTAGAAACAAGATGATACTCGAACAGCGGCGTCGAACAGAGGATCGCGGGTTCAAATCTCGTCGTCTTGAGCACTTTTTTTTCTTCTTCGACTCGACACGATCACYTCTAAGCGATTCATTTTTCTTTCCTTCGCTTTTTTTACTGAAATATACTTATTCTTATTTTTCCTGTATATATTTGTTTTGCATATTTTACACGCAAGATCATACTTGAATAGCGGCGTTGAACTGACGATCTCTGGTTCGATTCTCGACTCGAGCAGCTTCTAAACAATTTTTTTTCTTTCCTTCTTTCTTTAACTTTAAAATATACTCGTTCTATTTTTCTTTCTAAAATCATGTTATGCAAAGCAAACTTTCATCTTATAAATCTCTGATGATAATGCGAATGCAATCTGAATGCTAAATTTTCGAAGCAATGATAAAATAATCCAAAATGATGTGAAAAGATCATACGCAAAATCTATCAAATCGATCGCGGCGCTGGTAAAGGTATATATTGGCGTAACCTGTACACGGTATGTTCCACGACGTGGTTTTTGTTGGCTATAGTTTGCAGTCCGAGATAACATACCCAAAAAACCTCCTTCGACTATGGGATCAACCTTTGAATCAGCTAAACATGTGCCATTGTAATAACAAAGTTGACTGATACGTCCTTGTACACCAAATTCCCCTGTTCCCCTAGGGTTCCAGCTCAGAAGGTCTTCGTCGTGTTCTGAGAAGTCTTCCGTATCAAAGCTTCTTGGGTTGTTATTGACGGTAGATACATCGGCCTTAAATCGGCCATAAAAGTGAAGGCGTGGAGTATTGAAGTAACTCCAGTAAGGGCTGCTTTTGGTTGTATCTGAAAGGACGAACAATGATCAATAAGTTATAGTCTGCACACCACTTTAATAGTTTGTRTTGTAAGACGAGTTGCCTTTTTGCGTTTTTATTGTAAATGCCGTTTTAACGTACTTCTTACTTGCTGAGCATAAATTCACGAATTAAAAGTGCTTCAGCTCAAGAAAAATCATGAGAGTAGAGTATCATGWCTTCCATGTGTAGATCCGTAATTTATAATTTTGTTCGTGAAATTAGAAAAAGGCAAACGAATCGAATGTAAGTTGATTCAATTATTCTGAATGAATAACCTCAAGCCCTGATCTATTCTCACCTTTCCCAGCATTCCTTGAGTACTTGTTGGTTTCAGCGAGAGACAAAACGGAAAAAAGATCAAAAACTAGTAAGCAAATGCAAAGCAAAGATATTGAATTCATATCGARATTATCGTAAATATGTTGTTATGCCAAACACACCAACAGAAAAACTAATTACTTGCATAAATTCCAACTGATAGGAATGGTTTCACTGGTGACTAATGGTGATCTACATAAAATGCTCGATTCTGATATTCTGGTAKTTAATAATTCTCACTTTCTTTAAATATACGCGCGGTATTTTTCATTAATTCTTCTCGAACGTTACGTGGTATTTCCTAAACTAATACAAATAACCAAAGAGAATGCATTTTTCATTCATTTGACCAATCAGTACTCGTAGTCTTATAATTTGAGCTTAATTGAGCATAGTATGTTTCTATATAGCATGCTAATTTCAAGTTTCTACTTTCGATTAGRATTTTGTCAGAATTTCGTGATCTATACAAAGGTTTGATAACGGAGCAGCCTGCAGGCCGAATACTTACGCGAAGAGAGCTCTATACCTAGCCAATGATGAATCATGATTACTGACCTAACTCAAAACTTTCAGGAAAAGATATCTATTTTTCGAGCATTTACTCCATCACGAAAGCTTGGGCATAAACTTAAGGTTATTACTCCCCTTCGCMGGGTGCCTCTGTAAAAAAAATCATAAATCATATCTTGGCTTCATTTTAAATAATATACCTAAACATATTATACATAGTTTTGAAGCTAACACAATAATCTAAACGTCTATGACAATGCTTTGTAATAATATTTATTAAATAATTTATTACAAATTAATAATCAATTAAAATCGGGTCSAAATTTTTAAAAAGTTAAATCGAAAAAAGTATTTATTTTTTCAACAAAGTTTGTACCGGCACTGTCCCATCTTTGAAATATTGGCATAGAGCTTTCCTTTAAACTCTAACCACAAGGTACCCTGGGAACCAGAGGCTGGATTTACTCGTTCTTGTAGTTTATATACTGCGCGAAGCGCCGTCCTAGAGGCCGAAGGCCGAACCGTAAACCAGCCTCTGGCGGCACGGATAGCGAATCTCACTTCCATGTCAGTGTTTACATTCAAGATCTGAATGTTGCAGCTGATTGGTCCGTTGATATCAGAGCGATATTATTGGTTGAAAATCAAAACCGGTTTTCAATCAGATACTCGACGAAGATTCTACGATAAAGTGCTTTCACATTAGATAATTCTTTGTCCTAAAAGTTTTAGACTTTCGAGTTTTTTTAACTTCCGAGTGAAGGTGAGACATGTAGCTGTTCGCTATAAATTCAAAAGCAAATATTTTCTCTAAAAACGATCTTTTCTCCAGATGAATTGCAAGTCCCCTGTCAACAAATTCGAGAGGCTGTAGCTACACACTTTGCAGATTCGTAAAGTCTTGCTTTAACGACATCTTCTGGGGATTTTGCTTAGTTTACATTCTGTGAGAATTCTGATACACGACGGAGATCAGTGACCCGTAACATTTTACATTTGATTCTGACAACTTATCTTTCGTCGAGAATCTGATTGAAAACCGGTTTTGATTTCCAACCAATAATATCGCTCTGATATCAACGGACCAATCAGCTGCAACATTCAGATCTTGAATGTAAACACTGACATGGAAGTGAGATTCGCTATCCGTGCCGCCAGAGGCTGGTTTACGGTTCGGCCTTCGGCCTCAAGGAAGGCGCTTCGCGCCGTATATAAACTACAAGAACGAGTAAATCCAGCCTCTGGTTCCCAGGGTAACCACAAGGTCAACCAGCAATAAATCAAATAATTCAACCAAGCATTTTTGAGGGCAGCACCAAGAACAGCGACATCAGCGGGCGACATTCGGAAAAACCTCGAGCATTGCGATTGTTTTTTAAGGGTCTCGAAGCCAAAACGAATAAAAACGCCGATAGGGAGGGTAGACACGCTTCCTGGTGCACACATCGATCCATCACGTAACCCGCCAGTGTTTCATACTTTGTCACAGACTAGGTTGTATCTCCCGAGGCATGGGATCGTGACATAATACCACAGGTAATCCGAACTTCACCAAGAGCGCTTGTCGATAAATAAATTAAAAGCGTGTGCAATATATAGTTGGGCTGCCTATGGTGAACATAACAACATAGCAGTGTTTGTGCTGCTACTTGTAATTTGCGGTTTGCGGCTCATACATGTATTATTTGTTTTCTGCAATTGAAATACCTTCTTGCTATGTTACTTATAGAGTTTATTTCATGGAAAGTGCGACGTACGGGATTTTATTAACGAGTTGTTTGCATCATACAACGAACGAGCGAGGAACGAGCGAGTGAGTTTATGATGCAAACAATGAGTGAATAAAATACCGTACAAAGCACTTTCCATGCTATAA